ACCCCGCGTACGCCAGATTGCTTCCCACTTCCGTTCCAGTTCAATATGTTGTGGTAGAGAGCTCAGTTCAGCCACTAACGCCAATACGTCCCCTACTGTCTTAACTGGGAGACATCATCGAGCCAGTCTGGTCCCCCAACACTACTCCAATGAAGCTGGTGCTTGAATATTTCATTCCAGTGTTTCCAGTTCACTTGAGCTGGCGAAATTTCGACGACAAGTAGAGGCGAGTAAACCCTTAAAGGAAACTTCCTGCGGGCTGTCTCATCTTTGCAGTGGAAGCTCTTGGACCTGCAGCTAACGCCAGACCGGGGTCATGTCTGCCCGTCGTTGGTGCCCATCTTTCACGAACGTCGACGTGGCGCTTCTTCGTTTAGCCAAAAGGTTGTCTGTGCACTTGGCTTGATGTTGTGCTGCCAATGCAAGGCGTCTTCCCTCCAAGCATCCCATGTTGGCTCCTTAAATTCCGAGGTGTTGGGTGCCATAAGCATTGCCAATTTCAAACCGACCACAAGACGTAGGGGAGGCCTGAGTCCCATCCTATAGTAGTCAAATGCAACTCTAAGACCACTAAGTATGGAGGAGCTCGGATACGTCTTCCCCAAAATGGGTCTCTTGGACTTCTCGTGATAAGTATGGAGGAGCTCGGATACGTCTTCCCCAAAATGGGTCTCTTGGACTTCTCGTGATAACCTACATTTTGTATGTGACGAACTACAGCGGGCCACAAATCAGCCCTCCTAGCTCTTATGCCCAGCACTTCTGTGGCGCAGCCCCTCCTGTAGTAGTCAAATGCAACTCTTAGACCACTAAGTATGGAGGAGCTCGGATACGTCTTCCCCAAAATGGGTCTCTTGGACTTCTCGTGATAACCTACATTTTGTATGTGACGAACTACAGCGGGCCACAAATCAGCCCTCCTAGCTCTTATGCCCAGCTCCAGATTTCGTGTTGTTATAGACAGGCATGCGAGTCGTTGCATATCCATACAGTTGCTCTGTTTTTTCCAGGAGAACTTCTAATTCCTTGCTCGTCAGCCGGTCCTTCGTCAGTAATTGCCTGAATATGTCAAGTACCCACGCTACCCTTTGCTTCCTATAACGAAACGCCCCTGCGTTAAGAATGCTAAAACTTCGCCCGCCAGGCGATGGCTCTACCTCAGGGAGACGGTAAAACGGATGCGTTCTGAGAAGCTGTTCAGAGACACCCCTCAACATCGCTTCCAGCCAACCACGTGAAGCAACGAGGTTGTCGGCTGCAGCCTGAGCCTGCGAAGCTAGGACCTAAGCAAGGACAACACCACAATGACAGCACGCCCGGCAGCCCCATTCCACGCTTTATACTTGCGAAACAGAAATGACCACCAGACCACCTCGACGAAGAGCAAAGGACACATACCACGAGACAGAGGCAACGAGCTCAATATGATTCAAAAGTACTCCTTAGTCGCAGGTGTCGTGCTAAAGTAAAAAACCAACCTCTTCAGGTGGTCAGCCTACCTGCAGGGAAGCTTCACTGCGCTTCGACGATGAAGGCTGGATGCTGCC